GTAGGAGAGTGCTCAGACCTTCCATCAACTGACTGCTCGTTAAATCACAGAATCTGTCCAATCATCACTCAGAAACTGTAACCAGGCAGAGTCGGCATGTCGATCTTTGGGTTTCTCCAGATGTTGAAGTGGTGTGCATGGGACTGTAGGAAGAGAGACGCTCCATCTAGGAAGAGTTTGGATGATGGTTTAATTCTTTTAGGTTCTTATTGCAGCCCTTAATGCTCAGTGTTTTGGCGCTGATGGTTCACATTCATGTTTGTGAGTGACATTTATACAGCGGCAGTGTGAACGCTGTTGAGGTCCCAGACATGTCACCAGGATGGCAACATCATCATTTTTGTGAGAATCAAATTACCTGAGAAACCACTCAGCCACCATATGCCCCTTCCAGCTTGGCTTGTCACTGTTGTCGCTCGCCTCCATGCTTATTTTTACCGGCCTGTGGACACTAAATGAAGATAACAGGTGATAAGCACAGAGGAGTGAGGCCTTAAAAAACCACTTGAATTCTGGCCAACAGAGACATTCACTAAGATGGCTTTTTATTAGGTACACCTGGCTAAACCTACTGCAGTCTAATGCAACAGTCCTGCAGTTAATCTTTCTTCATGAAGCTTGTAATGATCAGCTTTCTGGTGCTGATCCAACTGTGTGATCATTGTGGAAGATGTAGTTTGTGTTTCTGATATTTAGTGTGTCCACGACTATCTGAATGGGTGGACAAATATTAGCAGCAGTCTGCACCACTGTTAGTAGAAAGGCCGTGGTTTAATATATTGATTAGAACAGCTCTGACCAAATTTTCTGAGTTGTCTAAAAAGAACCATACTTCAGTTGTCATGGGCAGATATTGCATGAAAAAAATGAATAATAGACAATGAGCAGTTTGCAGCAACATTTAATAACCAATATATAGTTAATATGTTTCCTACAAAATGTAACAGGTTGACTCTGCTGTGTTTTGCATTTCTTTGTCACACCATGTCACAGCTGTAGCCTGGTTCACGGTGATAAGATGTTAGCAGATTCTGTAATTACAAACTAAATTCTTACATCTTGTGTTTTCCTGCCTCAGTGTATGAGGTCTTGCTTAAAACACTAGTACTTCCTCAGCTGTTTTGTGTTGCAGTGCTGTTCGCTCCTTTCTCTGTCTCTCACTCTCACACAGACACACAGTGTTATGTATAAACTCTGCGCATACACACAAACAATCTATAAATACTGATACTCTGCTACAGCCAGTTTCATCCTAATATGGAGGTCAGCCCCTGAAGCACTCAGTGCATGTGTAATGAACATTGCAGCCTTGGGAGGGTGCTAATGTGACTACAGCCATTTAGCTTTGTTGACTTCTTGTGTCCTTTTTTCCAGTTCCCTATGATCATCATCAAAGAACCCAAGCTGAAATCTCTACTCAATCCTTTACTTTGTTCCAGAATTAGTTTTTGGAACATCTTTCCTACCGTAGAGCTCACAGCTTCAGCATATACAT